GTACAAACTGTAACAATATGTTTGAATAAACAGACCTGAGGCATGACCTCACCTTAACTCCAAAAAAAAAAAAAAATAAAAAAATAAAAATAAAAATCATAATATAATGCACAATATATAGTATATAATGAGTAAAATTAGCCAATTGTAAGAATTTTTTATAAATAATAGGGCCAACTAGGTTACTTGAATTAGAACTGGTTTGTGACCTGGTTAATAAGTTTTAAACCTCTAATTCTGTAATTGTAGAATAAAAGCCTTATTACAGTATTACATAAGTAAAATATGTAAGGGTGATTATGTGATAAAATCTTAGTGTGATTAGGTTCTGTATGCAAGTGATCAACCAATTAATCTTGAAACCTTGAATGTCATTGACCAAGATAACTTAATTTAAGAATTTTAATTAAACAACTGGTTGTGCAACTGTTACTATTGTAAGTAAAAAGAAATAAATAAATAAAAAACTATACTCTGGAACATGTCTATGGTCTTGTAAAAATTGTTAGTGTTAGGTTTTATAAGTGTTTAATAATAAGAAAGCAAATAGGTCTTTTGATTTTCCAAATGTTTTTATTTTTTCTAAAGATGGTTTTATTAAAAATGGTTTTTCTGCAGGCACTAATAACTTTTTTGCAAAAATCTAAAAGTTCTTTCCTGAAAAAACATGAATTTCTATATTTATATTTTTTTGTTATTAGATTATAAATTGAGCAATTTAATAACAATGATACTATACATTTCTAGCATTAGTTTGTTAGAATTTCCATTTTTATAAATGCTTCTTTTCATGATCCCAAATATTTTTTAATCTATAAAATTAAAAAATGCATTATGTAAATTGACAGAACTTAAAATAATGTATGACAAGAATATTCAAATTGCTGTAAATTATCTATAAATGCACATCTTTGGAACCAAACTTTAACAGTATGCATTTAAAGAACTGCAAATGTATTTATGGTGTCATATATATATTTGAGCCCAAATTTAAGTATGCATTTAGAGAGAGTGTGCACTTATAGAAGGTATACTTATAAAGGTTTCACTGCACATATTAATGTTTGAGCAACTCATGATTAAAAAACAAACTTCAAACTAAATTATTCTTTAGACCTTAACATAAACTACATAATCCATAGCATAGTTATTTATTTGAGACAGGCATAAACTTCCTATATACATTGCTCTTGCATAATAGGTCTTTTCTATTTCATTATATTGATACTATCCTGTATTTTTAATATTTTCGAAATGAACATCTGCAATATGATGGTTACCATTGCAAAAGAAAACTCCTGTGAGACGATATCTATATTTTTTTAAAAAAAGAGAGATATATATATATAAACTAAATATTTTATAAAATTAATAAAAATATAAAATCAATATAAGCCTTACCTTTGTTTTGTATCTACATTTTCTGAAGGAAAATCAATTTCTTCTAAAAGGTCTTTATTCTCAAGATAAGTTCCTTCGTCAGTAATATTGATATCTACAACATTGATCACAAGAATCAAGGGCAGCCACTGATCAATCTGTCTAGTTAATTTAATCTTGCCTACACATAAATATAAATGTCTAGAAAAATATTAAAAATAGAGAATAGGTAAGTAAAGAATTAAAAATAAACAACTTTACTTGATATTTCCAGTCTCTAATAATTTATATTTATCAATCTTGAAAGCATTTACAGAAATATTTGATAGTTCTTCTTCATTCATAGTCTTGAACTCTGCATCACATGAGACAATATAAGGTTTTTTCCAATTTCTGAGGTATGTTTCGAAATAGCCACTTTTTGGTAACATGAATGCTTGTGATTTTCTAAAAAAAAAAAAAATTATTAAATATTAAAATGAATTAAAAAATAAATAAAAATTAAAAAAAATTTAAAACAAAAAAAAAAAGAAAAAATCATCACTCATATAAATATAATATTATAAGAATTTGTTAAATAGAAAATTTTTTTTGGGCAGTAGTCAGAATTACATGTATTTGTTATTGTGCTTTTGATGACAAGAAGATTTCTGTCTAAAGAATCATAGAAAAATTGTTCAAAAAACTGTTCAAAAAGCTCTCTAAATAAATCTACTTGATTTATTTTTGTTAACTCAGTATATGATAACAAATTCTCAATCCAAAGAAACTTAGCTTCAACTTATTTTTGTTATTTCATATAGTCAAAAACTTAAAGAAAAAGGTGAATATGTGAATTTGAATTAGCTAGTGCGAAAGAAGCAGCTTGGTTATAGATATCTTGGTAAATAAAGGTACTTTGAATAAGTGTAAGACTTGTATCTACTAGACATGTAGAGATCAAATATACTGTGTCTTTTTTTCCTCCATATGGTATAGTGAAAACCATGATATTATCATGAGAATCCTTAGATGACAGTATTGGCTGTGAAGACAATTGCTTATTCACCTATTTAATTGATAAGTATATAGCAAAGCTGCCAAGAGGTTTAAAAAAAAAAAGATACTATTTAAAAACATCAAATAAAGTCACAATTACATTTACCTTTGATTTTTTTTTACTTGTTTATCAGCATATCTGCTATTTTATCGAGCTGAACTATGCATTGATCTTTATCACCATTTTTAAAGATTATATTCACAATAACTCTACTCTCACCAATAATTTCAACAATCTTTACTATTTGGTAAAGAGCATTGAAAATTGTATCTTGGAGTTGAATAAATTCTCCTAGCACAAAATGACTTTTTTTCTTATTCTTAGAACCTCTTTTTTCAGATAGCCTAAACTCATTCTTATTGTGACCATTGGCATCTTTTTGGTTAAGATAGGACTTAAAAAAGCTGCTTGCAGTTGATTCCTTATATAAATAAAAAAAGTAAAGATATATTAGTATAGTATCTATTATCATTATTAGACTAATTATACAATTTACTAAGTTATAAATACTACTAAAAGAGTTACAAACTTGAACATCATGACTTATTAAAATAAACAAATTCTCTTTGTACAGTAGTAAATTTTGTTTAATAAAAACATATAATACATATATTCATTACGAAATTTAATATTATTACATATGTTCTTAATACAGTAAAACCTCTATAAGTGCATATCCTTGGAACCAAACTTTAACAGCATGCATTTAGAGAACTATAAGAAAAAAAGTACAGTTATGAAGGTTATATATATCTTTGATCCAAATTTGAGTATGCACTTATGAAGAACTCACAGTACTGATGAATTGTTATGTAAAAATAAAATAAATTGTTTTTTTTTTTACCATTTTAGCTTGGATTTATTATAAGAATTAAAGATACTAGAAAAAAAAAAATTAGAAATCTTGAATATATAAAAAGAATTATATAGTAAATAAATAATATTGATACTTGCTTTTGTAACTCAGACTTATTAATAAATAACTGAACAGCTACAATATTCTGACAATCATGACTGCAAATTACATTAAAGCTACATGAACAAGCTAATTTTCTACTTCTATATGTAATACATAGTGTTTTTGTCTGTTGCTTGTTAATACACTTGTCAATTAAGTTAGAGATCTCCAATTCAAAGTTTTTTTCACTAACATCTTCCAATTCAGTATGCTAAGTATCAACATTCGTATTGAACCAGAACACATTCCAAATATCCTAATCAACCTCTGAATGGTAAATTATGATGAATATAAATATATATACAAATAATAGGTATATAGTCAACTCTCCCAAATCCAAACTCAATAAACTCTGTAAAAACTGAACATAAAGCTGTAGAATATTTTTAAAATTATTAATAAAGTTCAGATTAACAGCATAGTAATTCTTTGAGAACTGAATTTTTTGATATTTTTATACATAGAGACGAACTGTTTAGAATAGAGAATGTTGACTATAATACAACCAACTTTCTTTATGTCAAACTGACAAAAATGCAAAATATAGTAATCTATTTGTGTACGAACCTATAATTTAAAAATTAAAGTTCAGATACTATGCGAATCAATCTATAAAGATTTAGTACAGATATATCTACTTTGAATAAGGTTTTTTTTGTATAAGAGTTCTTTCTTTATATGTACTTTTTTTTTTCTTGTTGTAGTTTTGATGTTGTTGAAGGTTTGCCTTCTCCTTTCCAAAACCTTTATAGAAAAGATTATTCTATACTATACAAATTTTTTTTTAAAAAAAACTTTAAATTTATCTTTCAATTTCTCCACTATCTACATGCATTAATGTAGCTATTTTTTTAAGATTTGAACATAGAGATTTTGTGTATCTTTCCCGATAGTGTAGTATCATATCTTTTTTAAAATAGCTTTCTAATAATATATTCATCTTCATAGGACAATCATCATATTTGTAATCTAGCTATGTGTCTATTGTAGTGTTAGTAAAAATATAAAAATACAAAAAACAAAGAATTTTTATTAACCAACCCAGTCACTAAACCAAAACTTTTGAAAATAAGATGTAATAATCTTTGCAATGCTTAATTTTGTAAATTCAGTAGTGATCTGAAGCTTCTTCACATCTATAAGAGTAGTCTTCCATTGGTCAAATTCTTCTTGATTCTAGGACTGTTTAACAAATTGAAATTAATAGAATATTTGATCACTAAGCCATTGATCATTCAAATTTTTAGTGAACCATTCTTTAAGTATGTTAGCTAAAGGGTAACAATATTTATTGTAAAAGGGTTTCTATCATTTTTCTAACAACCACTTTTCTGATAAACAAAATCCTAACAAAAATTGACCAGAACTAACTCTAATTTGTCAGGATTTTGTTGGAAAAGTGGTTGGTAAAAAAATGATAGGATCTGATTATAAAAATATAAATAAAAACTTATAAACAAAAAGGGCAATAAATTTTATATATATAAAAGAATCACTCTCATGCCAATCACACAAAATTACTTGTGTATTGGGAAAGTGTTTTCTGGTTGCTAAAAGACAAAGATCCTATTTATCTATAGCTAACCATTTAGAACTCAATTGAATGCTATTCTTGATACTATATTAAATCAACTTTAAATAGCCAGAGTTATAATCTTATCCAATAAAATTTATAAGAAAACACAAAAATACTCATTGATTCAAACATAAAATTGATAACTAGTATTGTTTCTTTGTTACTTACAAATGTTGCTACAACTTGACTACAAGGTTCATCTGATCTAACTATAAAAGCAGTATTTAGAAAGTTTAAGCTATTGCGACAACCAGTGGAATCTACAGCCAAAAAGTCCAAGTATTTTGTTAAAAGTACTGGCATAATTATAAATATGACACCAAGAAGTACAGCTTGTTCTTTAGAATCTTGGAAATTCTTAACACCATAATATTTTAATATAGCAGTGCCTTTACCTTCATAATTATCCATTAAGGAACAAATTTGTTAACTGAACATAAGTAAATAAATAAATTATTAATAAATAAATAAGTACAATCCTCTCATATAATCATACTATCAAGACTCGTAAAAAAAGGTTTTATATAGAAGATACACTTAGAATTGTGTTTATATAGAGAACCATTTTTATATATTTAATAGTAGTTGATTCAAAAAACAAGTGTGCTTATAAACATGTATGGGAGTGTGACTGTAAATAGAAATTTTTTAATTCTTACTTTCTCAAATTCTAATATGCTTAGATGATACAACTTTTTATCATACTTAAGGTCATTTTGTATTGACTCAAGATTGGGTGCAAAGCGAGTGGATGTTGGTTAAACCTGATTTGCCAATGTATTATAGGTTGTATCAAGAATTTTTGAACTATTCATGAGTTCTAAAAATAAGATTATTAAATTACAACTAGATCAATTGCCAATTTGGAGTTAGTTAATAAAAAAGTAGAAAATATCGAAAAATTTTAGGCAAAAAAGTATGAATACTAAAGAAATCTAAAAAGTATATATATTTAATATAGAATGAGTAATTGGCCTGACTTAAATATCAACTTAGTCAAGTCGATAAATTTGTGTTGATTACAACAATAATTTCTGCGATTACCTGTCATCACCAATGAAGAAGTTACATTTTCAACTCTTTTTGTAATTCTTTTTCTTACAAAATTTGATATTTAAAGTAGTTTTTTCTGAACATGTTCAGAGTCATGATTTTCATAATATGCAATATTATACAGATTGAGTGGACTGTCTTTAGAAACTGAAATCTAACCCTTTCAAATACATTTATCTTTATGACAGTCATTCTTTAAAAACATACAATTAGTATCTTATAAATTCACTAAAAATAGATGAGCATATTTTTTATCATATATATCTGAACAGAACATTTTAGATATTCTATATATGCAAATGTTAAATAGAATAATTGCATCACATGTTCATCTACAAATGTAATTGTTTTCATGTTCCCTTCATGCATCTTTATTAAGGAATCATAAGAATCAAAAATTATAAGAATCTTTTTATATAACTTGTGCTATTTAAAAAACACCTTACTCGACTTCTATTTATGCAGTCTTTAGGCAAAATTTTATAACCTTCACTAAGTCTACCACCTTCAGGTAATGTTGTATTGAATGTATACAAATCTAGCACTGAGAGTACTTCAGTAAGTGGTACTTGCATGCATCAAAGTTTTGGCAATAATGGATGCCAAACACTTAATTTCACATTATAGCTAATAGGTAAGAAAAATAAGTTATCCATTCTTATTGTTAGAAACAAGTAGTTCAATATTATAATTTTAAACAATTTGTATCATGATTTCATTTTATTTATTTTTAACTTGGTTACAAATAGATGAAAAGAAATTGTTCTCTTCAAAATTTTTCAAAAAAGGCATGACAGCATATTTTCATCATTTGATATCAAAAATTAAAGTTTACTATATGTTTGGTAAAAATGAAAAAACAAATTTCTGCCAAAAAACACATAGACATTTTCTGTTAGCATCCTGTTTTTCATGAGATTCTACTTGGACCAAATAATTTATATAACTGGTAAATTTAATGTTAATGTTTACTATCTTCTACCAAAAAGGGTTTAGTAACATATTTTATCCTGTTTCTGCTCTATATAAAAGCATTGTAAATTTTACATATTTGGAGTTAAAACAGTGAGCCATGCCTATATGTAAAGACTGGAAAATTTTTTATTTGGATACCAACATTTAAAAAAAACTTGCTCAAAAACTTTTTTTAAGCAGATTATTAACCAATCAATCAGATTATTCAGTTTTATATATGGTAAACAATAAGGTTTATTTGGTGTTGCAAAAATAGCACATAAGTTTTAAAATATATAAGTCTTTTAAAACTTTCACTCACACTTATAAATAATGATTTTTTAGATATTTAAAAAACTAATTAATTGTTTTATTTTTTGAAATTAGTATTTTTTTTATTCAAAATTTTTATTAATTTCTAAATAAAGTTTTGATTAGTTTCAGATTCTTACTAGACATTTGTATCAGTAAGATGTAGTATAGCATATTGTGGCAGTCAAAAAAAGGTCTTATTTGAATTCAAAATTTTAAACTTGAATACTTTTATTAACACAAATTTTAAATTATAGTATTCAATATGAGTTTTTGTGAAATAAATAAACTGTTCCAAATAACTTATAAGGTAGAAGTGGAATCCGATAGTTAAAAATGAGTATTCAATTAAAAACAAATATATATTCAGTTATACAAAATTTATAGATTAGATTTATTTTATTCAATGAATATTTTACAAAATTTGTGAATAGTCATAAACATTGAACATTCTATCAAGATTTGTTTAGAATTAATATAATCAGAATATTCAATAAATATTCATAAATTATTTTATGAATATCTATTTAATACTATTTGTGCATGACAAAAACCTATGAGTATTCATTAAATAGTTATGAAGAATATTTAAAAGATCCCAACTCTAGTTGAGAAAATATTTGAGTTCAAAATTTTATATTTAGTTAATGCATTTTTTTTGTTTATTGCTATATATAAGCTTATATATATGCAATTCTGGTAGACAAATAACCTTGGATTTGTTATGATGAAAATATAGGCATAGGCAAGTATTTAAAGTTGGCAATTCTGATAGGCAATATAGACTAAGAATGAAAAAGAACTACCTGAATATTCATCTGTTGAAAATAGATATTTTCAGCTTCATCAAAAATAAAAAATATTTTGATTACATTTTCAATTTGGAATATTTATAATTTTTTAGAAAAAAGCAATTTATTCTTTTCTATTGCAGTATTGACAATTATACTTAAGCATCTATTTGGTTTTAACTTTTATAGTGACTTAACATGATAGACTTAATGCAGCAAACCAAAATATTCTAGTAGACAACCTTAATTATGCTATAATGAAAAAAGAAATCTGATATTATTTGAAATATGCTAAAAGTAAAGATTTTAGTGGGCAACATAGACAAGACTGAGAATAAAATATATTTTAAAAAAGGTAATTCTAAAGAAAATAACCTTTGAAGAAGAAGGTATAGGCATGACAAAGAATAGAATAGTATTTGAAATTTGCTAAAAGTAGTGACTCCAGTGATAAAAAATGCATTTAAACAGTGTTGAAAATTAGCTAAAATAGTAATTCTTGTGAGTATGATAATCCTGATTCTGCTATGACAATGGTGTAGTGAATCTGGATGTTATTCGAATTAGAAAGTGGCATAAGACAATGAATTGTGCACCGAAGTATATATAGATTTCTTTCAATTCAAAATATTTTTTGTTAGGCAATTTGCTAAGTTTAGTTTTTCTTATTTTATGAGTTAGATATATAGTATAATTAAATATTAGAAGTTTCACATTTTACATCTAAAACTGTTGGTAAAGTCATAAATTTTGATGTGATTGTGAATAACTGATAGAACTGATGAAACTATTTATAATGGCAAATCAAATTTCAAAAATGTAACTGATAAAACTAAACAATTTAGTTTCACTATTTACATCATGATTTATAAAGCTTTAATGTATATTTTACATATTTATTATATGAAAAATAAGTACTTATTAATTTTTTTTTTTTTTTAGCATATATATATTATACTAAAGTACTACATTTCATTTATGTTAACTGGCTAAAAACTCTAATATTTGAATATCATTAAATATAAATTTTGATTACATGTAACAAGAATACTTTAATGAAAAAAGTAAAATTAGTTTTTAAGAAAATAATTAACTGAATTCACTCGTATTCAATAATTCTAAGATTTTTAATTTATTATTAGCATCACTATCTCTATTTGTTTATCTTTGTATCGTTATATAAGATCTTTATATTTATTTTAAAACCTAACCAATTTTATACCTATAACAGGTATCTGATTTTTTGATAATATATAAATGTTTAATGCTTATTTATTCTTATTCTTCATTTTGGCAAACTTTTGAAAATAAATGAATTAAATGCCCATCTTCATCTTTTTTAATTCCTAATTCCCTATTTATAACAATAACAAAGAGCATTTCATCAAAGTCATCTGTATTCAAAAATTAATGAAATTTTGTTAGTTGGATCTCATAATAGTTATGTATTAAGGTGACAAAATTCATTTATAAGAACCAAATCCAAGATTAAAATAAAATAAGAAAGTTGTTAGTGGATAATTCAACATTTAGAGAAAATAATATATCAAAATTTTTAAATCTAAAAAGTCATATAACAGAGTTTTTATCACCAATCTCAAGAAATCTAAAAGTCTATAATTCAAAATTCTAAAAATAGAAAAGCTTTAAAACTACTTACTGAAGCTTATGATAAAAATCCTCATTACTAAATTCCAACTGAAAAAAAAAGTTATGACAATGCAAATACTATTCAATGTTTAAGTACTTTGAGTATTTTATAGTAGTGTTATAAATTGTCAATCGATTAGTTGCTTAATTAGTTGTCAACTAATCAACTGATCGATTTTTTTAATTTTTGATTTGTAACACTACTTTACAGTATTTTGCATTAAATGCATTATAGTAATAAAGTAATAGATCTATTTTCAAATTAAAAAATCATAAGAATTTCTTTAAAACCAGACAAGATCTTGACCAGATGGTTTACAAGAATCATTATCAATCTTTTAAATACCATCTAACTAGATCATAAAATATACAAACTGAGTTCTTTAATGATATTTTTTTTTGTTTATCTTAAAACATTATATTGGAATTACATGTGAGACACTATGCTTTATATGTATTATCCATATACATATAACTTGGTTTTTGCCAAGAGCCACCTAGACTAATGATTTTTAGAAAGATAACTTTATGCATAAGGTAAATACCAAACAGGTTCTGTTTATAACAATAAAACCAATAAAGTATATAGTGTAAAATATTTCCTAATATTAGATCTATAGATAATTTTTGATATAAGATTTTACAGCCTTG